GTGGGTAGAATACGGTACACATGCAATGCTATTGTGGACTTCGAAGAATATTGTGGACTTGTTTTGGGGAAGAGTGGACTTGGAAGAAATTGGGTGATAAGCCAAGTTCCCTTGGCAGTATCAGGGCGGTGCTAAAGTTTGATATAACAACGATGACAATGATATAACAATGATGACAATGATGGCCAGTGACGAGAAAATGATCAGAGGAACTGGCAACAGCTGGCAAGGACCGGCAACGGTCGGCAGGGAACATAGAAACATAAACCTATCAATCTAAAGGCAATAGCCCAACATAAGCAAGGAACAATTGATAAAACAGTACCATAAAGCATATTATGATGATTGGATCAGCCAAAATAAATAATCTTCATAGTCTGGCAGACTGGATAGGATCATTAGTCAAATAAATCATTCTGATTTTCATTATTTTTATTTTTATTAAAATTACTATTATTATTATTGTTAACTAATATTATTTGTATTAGTGAGTAGGATCAGCTGATATTACATTGCATTTAATATAAAGGGATTAATAATATAGCTATCATCTCAATACAGCTTTTATCTATTTTTATCTATGTTCAGTTAATTTTATCAGAGCTATCAGCATATTATAATAGTCTAGTAATAAAATTAACTGGGATCAGTAGCCATCAGCTATATCAAGTATGCTATCAGCCATATCAAGTGTGCCATCAGCTATATCAAGTGTGCCATCAGCCATATCAAGTGTGCCATCAGCTATATCAAGTGTGCTATCAGCCATATCAAGTATGCCATCAAATAAATCGTACCCCCCATCATATCCCATCAACACATCAATTTACCCCTTCTCTCACCATCAGTAGGTCCCCTAGATGCTGGAGGGGCACCAGGACCACCAGGACTAAGGACCTCCGCCTCCAGGACCACTGCCACTAGGACCACCAGGACCACCGGGAACACCGAAACCACTGGGGCCACCTCCGCTATCAGGACCATTAGGGTCATCTGGACCTCCAGGGCCACCAGGACCTTCACCAAGCGGGCTGTTACGACCGCCAGGAGAACCAGGGCCATCTCCACCATCATCTGGCCTACCATGATTGGCAGGACCAGAACCAGTACCTCGTTGTTCCTCTGTATCAGCAGGAGGAAGGTTTTCACCTTGTTGCTCTACTTCCTCATCGATTTGGGTGAACCAGTTGTGCTCCGGTATTGCCTGGGCCAGTTCGGCCAGAAGGGTTCCGCGCAAGCCAGTAACATCAGCATTGAACTGCCGAATAGGGTTGTTGGTTGGAAGAGGCAGAATAGGCGGATCCATATAAGTCAAGGGGTGAGGAGCGGAGCGTTGTCCGAAGTTTGGTTCTAAGGACTGACGTGCTGAAGGGTGCAAAGCAAGGTATGAAGCGCCTTGAGGCAAAGGTGAGGGTGAAACAGGCTGAAACATGGGATTGTGGAAGGCCGGAGGGGGTGTTGTAAAAGATTCCCAGGGGGAAACAAAGAAAACAGAGGAACGTCAATCAGCTTGGACTTGTAGATTTAGGCCCTTGTAGAAGTTAACCAGAGGAGCCGGAGGAGACGACTGTTGAGGCCATCCCGGGTGAGTCGGAAACTGACAAGGATTGTTGAGGGGTGAGAAATGTTGTTGGGAGTTGTCGTAAGACATGAGGGAAAAACAGAGCCAGACAGATGAGCTCCGTGCAGAACAGTGGGGGTTTCTACTATAGCTAACATCACCAGCATTCTGTTGCCTCCCGGAAATCCGGGAGGCTACGGGCACCCTAAGCCATCTTGCCAGGCTACTGAGTCCCCCAACAAAGGATCAACAAAGGGCCTTTGTTGGGGAGCCACCCAATAGCCTGTGTAACAGCCTGGTGGTGCCCGTAGCCTCCTGAGAAACCGGGAGCCTACAGAATGCCGGCGGTGTAACAAGCCAGTAGCTGCCTGACATGAATGAACACAAGACCAACCGGACTGGAGCGGAGTCGGAGCGGACCAAGGCCCGCGAGCAGAGTGAGTCCGGTTGAAGGACAAGAGAAGAGAGAAGAGGATCAGAGTCGTTCCGCACAGAGGAGGAGTGCAAGTAATGTTTATAATCAAGCTAAAGTACCGTAGCTACTTTAGCTGTTTAAATACTAATAGTAAGTAGAAAGGGAAGACCATAAGTAAGTACAAGGTATGGAGTGCATATGGAAAGTAACAAGCACGCTGCGAGGTGTTTCAAACTCACCATGGGCTATGCCACCCCCGGCCTAAATCTCCACGTCCCAGGGGTCACCACAGACTTGAGGTTGAGCGCCGAGTGGGTTGGGGGGTTTGGGTGGGGGTATGCCACTTGCTGGGGTGGGCAGTGGCAGCGACGCAAGTTGGTGGGATATGTACGAGGGACAAGGAGGGTGACAGTAGTCACAGACCGCCCTCACGGTGGGGCGGCGGGTGCATGTGATTGATTACCCAATTTAGGAACCGCGTGACATTGCTAAAAGGTTAAGACGTGTTGACAGGTTGGCAAACCTGAGAATTCCCCTGTGTAGTATAAATACTGGAGTAGTTCTCTGTAATAATGATCAAATATTGGTCTTGTTTCTTCTTCAACAGCAGGCACATGTCCAGTTATGGACATGAGTCTCTTGTAAGCCTGGAAGCCTTAGCTACATTCCTCTGTCACATTAGCACTGACTCTTTAGTCACTCACCTCTGTCCTCCATTGTTGTTCCAGAATATAGTAGGATTCTATTGTGTTTCTGTGTGTTCCTCAGTGTTTCTGGAATAGATCACCCAGTTTCCATCTCTACTAACTGTCAGGGGAACCCCTCTTTCAACCCGTCGGAGTCGCTGCCGACTCTGGTTTCGACTCCGGTGATCGCATCACCGCCTCTATCAGGCGCATCGCCGCCCCCGCCTGGCGATCCCCCTGGGACCTGGCCTGCGACATGGCGCGGGCATACTGCACGGAGCAACGATCAACCTTGGCGCGTCAAGAGCGCAGTATATAGTTCCACTACCTAGCAGGCGGACCCTTAGAGTTTCTTCTCTTTGGATCCTCCCCTGCTAGGACCTTGACTTCAGGCCTCCAGGGTTGCCCTTACAAAGGCATGGTGACGAGACTGTGATTAGTGTCCATAGTATGCCAGAAATGTGTGGCAAAATGGAGCACAAATGCAGAATCAAACAGTGAACCTCTTGAGCGCCAGCCATGAGGAGAACCAGCTGAGTCATGAAGCAACACATAGGGATGGCGCTGACCTGTACCTGTACCCGCACGGGTATGGCCTACCCGTGCCATTGCCTATAAATGATGGGCCCCGATTTCCGGTGCACATGACTCCGAAATTTTGGCACTGGTTTTCCCACAAATAAGTGCTGCTTCAGGGCCCCGTTTTTGCGCAAATCCCCGATGTGAATGGTTTTCTTTCTAGTTTTTTCACAAAGAATTCCCTTGTTGAAGGGTTTTACTGTAGTAAAAACTAAAGGAATTCTTTGCTGAAAAACTCAAAAAGAAACCATTGTTTTTCATCAGTGAACAAATCATTTTTCCTTGTGTGAAAACTTGAAAGAAAACCATTTGTTTTTGATCTGCGAAAGCCCCTTCCAAAAGCAGCCATTTCCTCTTTTGGAAAGTTGATCCCAAAATCACTTGTATTCTTACCAATTTTTCTCCTGCAAAAACAACTTGTTACCTTGCTTCAGCTAGGTCCCGTATATCATAAATTCAGAACAAACAAGTGTAAACGACAAAAACAAACATGTACAAATTGCTGAATAATCTTCCCCAAATCTTCCCCCACAAGCTTCCCATTCCCATGTCAGTCACCCTGCCCTCAATTTGTAACGGGGTGTTGAAGGGGTGGACTCTATAGTTGTGCAAGCTTCATTTATAGATCGTTGAGATTACATGAGTGTGAGGGCAAGTTCCAATCCCCACTGGTGCTTTCAAGTATGTACCTAAGCTACATGTTCGATCTTTAGATCATGTCACACATTGTCACAAAATGAAAGTTGCATCGATACTTATAGGTAGGCATAGATCTCCTTCGACTTTTTAGGTGAGCACAGGAGGTCGGTGGCGAGCGAAGCGAGCGGCCGACCGACAGAGCAGATGTAAGCCAGAGTGGCAAGGAAAAGTGGGCCACAATATTGAATAAATTATATTTTCTATCATGATTCATCTTTCCTATATGTATTTATAAGCAAGCATACTTGAATATCAGGTGAAGTAATGTTTTGCTGATATCCTGGAACTGCATTCCAGGTTTTGAGCCTCACCAAAATATTTTCCAAAAAAGGGAATTTATTTTCAGAATATATTTGTTACAATTTTACCCATCATTGCCTGGTTGGAACATTGACCAATTTGTAACACTGACAAGCCAGATCACTGACAAAAATACATAGAACTAAGAAAGTGAAGCAAGGTCTCAGCCTCAGGCGCAGGCGCCAGAGGCCCTTCTTTGTTAGAAGAAACTTGATTCATAAAGTAGTACTTTTCAAACTAACTTTCACCACCTGAATTTACCTCAAACTCTGATGTGCCGGCCGCCCGAGAAACCACGAGAATTTGTGTTTCTTGTTTGACGCGCGAGGGTTTCTCATTGCCGAACGAGCCCTTAACCAACACTCATTAGCATATACTCGAGTAGACTAGCAAGACCTATAATCACTGAGAAAAGCCATCTATATGCACAATGTTCAAGTTGTTGACATTCTGAGGCACTCATGCCGCGCGGGAGACCCTGGGTTGGTGATCTCAATTTTGGACGAAGAACGAACAAGCATTCTACCAGCTTGTCAGTGTGATCCAGACTTGAACTTGAGGTAGACGGACATGCGAAGTATATTGTCGCTGCACTCGCATTTGAAGTTGAATATACACAGGACGTATGCTATACTAGTATGTAGGGAGACCAGTTTTCGCTCAAGTACAAGAAATTTAAGAAAGTGCTACGTTAGTTAGCAGCAGCAGGTAAAATACCGGGACTTGGTAGAGAGCTGGTTTCGGAGGTATCAAGCAAGTTCTAAGCTGCATTGGAGTGATAGTGCGCCAAGAGATGCGTGAAAGTTTCAACAATCTGGGACCAGAAGTGGGTACTGAACTGAGGCGCATACAGTCGGACTGACCTTCTCCGCCCGCTCTTCGCCGCCAGGGACAAACTTGCACAGGAGGGCAGCTGTTTCGAACCAGCGTTTTGCTTCGTCCAGCATCGATCCCCTGGACGAGCGGAGTTAGAGCAACAACGTAACGAAGCCGTTTGAAACTCACTCAAGACACTCAAAGCCCGTGTTGTACGCCGTCCCGAGGAGCCAGTTCCGCTCGTCGATCGGGTATGCCTATATGAAGCTCATTTTCTAGGGAGGCATCGCCGGACAGACACAAACCTGGTCATCTTGGTGGTGGTCCGCGATGACAGTGACAGCTTGTTCAACAAACACAATCGCTTTGACGCGATCCTGCGAGGAGTTCCGCGCGAGCATTATGGTGCACACGGCGCGCAGCCAGCGGGAGAACTTCTCGACCGACAGAGAGCTGTGATCAAGACTTGCACGAAGAATAGCCTGGGGTAACATTAGCAATAGCTAAAGAAAGCCATAATGCTAACCTCCAGTCCAACAAGAAGAACTAGACAACTTCAGCTGTCAGATCTAGACCGTGCAAATATCAAGCGCACCGTCAATTGGGCAATCAGATTCGGCCCACTGTAATGATTATCAGTTAGATTCGTCGACAAAAATGGGGTATACCAAGATGTCTGCGATTGCCTCGTAAGTCCCAACAGCAAGCGGGCCAGAATCGACAACATCCTGGCACAATCAGAGCGACATCGAGAACAAATTAGGAGTCACCAACGACAACAATGCGTGATAGATGTTGCCACTCCTTCAACTGAGTCCAAATCTCCGCCTCGAACACACGGAGAACGTGGAGAAAATATTCAGCGCGGGTGATGTCTTGCCGCTCAGTCAGGAGGTTCTTGTTGACGATCGCTGAGATGGATGTCTTGGCAGCTGAAACTCGAGCCGCATTCTCGCGGAGACGGTTAGCCTAGATAGAGTTTGACTGGTGAGGTTAAAGAGGGAAGGTATTACAAACATCGATGGTGCCGTCGGTGGCGGATAAACGAGCGGCAAAGACTTGACGGGAATGAGTAAAGATGGAAGGAGTGATCGGGATCACGCACCACGGCCAGACACGCCGGAGAAAGTCGCGTTGATGAGATGCATGTAATTGGAAACGTCAGCGGGAACATCCAATGCTGCTTCACAATACGTTGCCAGAAGATCTCTGGCAACTTCGAAGAGCTCTGACACCCGCTCGTGGTTGCCCTCCTCCCATTCGGCACAACATTGAACCGCGCAGTTGTAAGCCATCCGCCATAGCCACGAGACATCCTTGATGACGAGCGAAATTGCCTTTTCCGTCAATGCGTCTTGAGCGAGAACTCTGGCTTGATAGATGTGAGATTGAATGAGAGTCTCGGTGGGAAATAACATACCGGTTTGGAAGTGGGATATTAAGGTTTCCATGAGGCGTGGTCTGTGCCAGACCGAGGTTAGTCTCATCGATAATAGACCGCCGCGGAAACACCACTGACTTGTTTGCAGTTGGCTCGGCCAACAACTTCCCCACCAGCCGTATGATACATCGGACTAGCGCCATCGCCTCCACCACCGTCTCGCCACCATTGTTCTTCTCGACCTTGAGTGTTTTCAGCAGCGCCTCGAGGACTGTTATTAGCACCGTCTTCATTTCGGATTCATGCGAGATCTGCGTCGCGAGTAGTAGCATCTTGCGATCAAAGTCCACAGCTTTGACCATTTCGCGAACGGCCCGAATGGCTTACGGTAATTAGTCAATGTAATGACAAACCTAAGTTAAATCCATACCTTCATCTTCCAAGCCTGGACGAAGCCAATGAGCCTCTTGCGGGAAAAATATTGAAAAACGATACCCTGATGAACTGCCGCAATGAACAGCAGGTAATGTGTCGATGCTTCGCCATGACCAAGACCCACCGGACATTTGCGGATGACTGCAGCTGCCCTGGCATGTTCCTTGTGCTCAATGTGACAGAGTGCTGCTTTGCGAAAGCATTTTGCCGCGCTGGCTGGACATGACGTTTGGAAGAGTGCGTGGGTGCCAATGAGAAACCAATCCGCGGCGGGACCGAACCGTTTAGCGGCAAAGTGTCGGTCGCCGTATTGCCAGAGGAGCTGGGGTAACAGCTCAAAAACGGGTCGAAGCTAGCCAAATTTACGCACCGTAAGGCATGCCGTTGATGGAACATCGAGAAGCTTAAAATCGGTTGCATGCGCGGCTAGGCACTGTGAGAGCGGAAGTAACGTGCTATTCGGAGGCATTACTCGTTAGCACAGACTCCATAGTCTCCATTGCTCGTTGATGATCTTCGTCCTTGGAACAGTGCACTATTAATGACAGAAGTAAGCGATTAACACCCTCGGTAGTATCATCCCATCGCAGGGCTTGTTGTAAGCAGTAAAGATGGACTTGCGCGACTATAACACTTCCACAGGTTGAGGACGAGTGAGTAAGTGTTGCAGAACTAACTGACCCATGATGCTGATGGTTCAAGGTTCGAAGATCTTGCAAAATACTGAGGAGGAAGCCCAAATCGCACCATGATAACAAAGAAAGAGGAAGGAGCTTACTCGGTAATATTAGACTCCGAAAACGTCATATGGTCAATAATGGATTTGAAGGCTAAAGAAACTAGTCGATCCAAGTATAAGGCGGACGAAAGTGGAAAAACAGACCGTCCAACAGGGTTGTGTCGCTAGCTTTCCGCTTTTTGACGACAGCTAATCGAAGCCATCTCAACTCTTGATGCTCTGAACGACCCTGTAACTAACCTAAGTACCGAGATTATCACACAACTGCTACTCACACTCCGAGAGTCCGCCAGCGCATCGACAGCCGGGATGAGTTCATCGAGCACGGCCTCAGCTCGGTCGTACGATCCCGTAATGAAGTAGGCCCTTGCTGCAAACCGTTAGTCACGTCTAGAGCGAGTAGTTGTCGCGCAGCATACCCATGGTCCGGAGGATGGTGATCTGTGAAATGCATTAGAAATCAAATGACGGACGAAGCGAAAACGTGCCCTGAGTGAGGCCTTCGATCCACTCGTTTCTTCTGCACCTATTCTCTCAGCTATCGAGAAGGCTTTCTGGAGCCAAGCCACTGCGTCAACAGCCCCCGAATCGTCTCCATCGCTGCCAGCACTACCAATGTGAGTCTTCAATATCGCTTTGCCGATTTCGTGGAATTTGCACGCTAAACGTTCTTGCTATCGTTCTAGTCAGAATGAAGTAGTAATACCATCGTTCTGTCCACGCTCACATCGGGAGACGGGAGTACCGACAGCCGCTGTTCGTCATCTGTTGGGCAGTCAGCATTCGTAGCTTCCGCTTACTCTGCCTTTTACCCGTGATCTTCTGCGCCATGAACGACGCCACACTCTGGTTTCCCTCCTTCCAAGCCTGGATTGAGCAGCGTGTGAACGACATTGATAATGGTTTTGCTTCAGACACTCACCGCTTCCATCCTAGCTGCAAGGTACACTAATGTTGCGCAGACGCGGTCGACATGGTGAGTGCTGTCAGGGTCTTCTGCATTTCGAAGGAGTTCTTCGTACTGCAACATAGGACTATGAATCCGAACAGCATCACCAGAAGAAGAAAGGCTCACCCGCGCCGCACTCGAAAGCACACTTGTAACCTCTCCGCTTCCCGCTTCTGTGAGGCCTGTTCATTTCCTGTCCATGACGGGCAGCTGCCGTACCTGACAAGGTCGAGCCGGTCTTGCTGGCCAATTGGAGAATATGAATTAGGTCTAAGAAAGATTAGAATGGTTGAACGCTCGGAGGCAGACACACTCTCGATTTCCGGCTTCAACTCCAAGCCAGTCTCAATCAAACGGAAACCTGCTAGCCGCACTGCAAGAGGATATCAGCGCGAGTGGAAGTAACTCGGGACATACACGCAGCCACTAAGCTCATTCTCCCACTCCCACTCGCCGTCGATGTGGGTGATTTTTGGACTAAACCGGAGATATTCCAAAGATTGACGCCTGTGAGGAATATGTAAGTGCTTTGCCTGATTCTGCAGCTTATAGCACACGCACCTTCCTGGTCAAGTTCGTCTGCTAAGTGGATCCACCCGGACGCATTTTGCCCTCGTTGTTCCGCGAAAGATTCGGCCAGGGAACCTATTTGGCGGAGGTTCTCGATAAGCATCGGCCGCGCGGCTGAGTCGGCATTGTCAATACGAGGCTTCGTGGCTATAAGGAGATCTAGTAGCAAGTTTTACTTGAGCTGAGCATGAAGCTTGGCCAATGAACGAACCTCTAATTGAGTCGAAAGCCTGCTGTAGAGTGGGACCGCTCTTCTTTTTGCGGGATGCCATGGTCGAAGAGGCAAGTTGGCAGCACGGGCTTGCCCGAAGAATAGCCTGCGGCGATGACGGTGACCAGCGGTGACCTGAAAGTGTGACATGAATGCGCCATTACATTGCGCATTCATGTCACACTACAGCTACTTGCAAAATTGTAAATTGTGGCTAGATACTCGTGTTGCTGGTAGATACTGCAGATAGTGAAAATGAGGGAGGATAAGGCTGCAGGCAGCAGAGGCCGAACCTTACCTAATGATCCAGCCAAACAGTCATAATGATTTAAATACATAGCAGAAATGGTTACAGCAATTTTTTTTTCAATGATATGTATCATATCAGGGCTGTATCATATAAGTGAATATTTTTTGATCCCCATTTTGATACAAAAGCTAGGCCAAAGAAGGGTGTTTAAAGCGGAGTAACAAAAACTGAGTCTGTGTTGGCTTGATAATAGAGGAAGAAAACAGGGGCTTTTTTGTATCTAATCAGCTACTGATCTGGTATTGATAGCACTTATTTCTCATATAAGCAGGTGAATTTGGGACGATTTTTTATTGTGCAAATAGAGCTATAAAAAGATTCTCTTTTTGATATATTCATTTTAAGCTCATACTTGTCACGGATAAGACCCGGCCCGTCCGCTCCGGCGCTGGTGTCGGGCCATTGCGGGCCCGTAACACGCAGCACGTGACGACGGGGAACATGCGCCCCAGTAGGAGCCCGATTCGAACCTTCGACCACCGACTACGGCAAGGGACCGAGTTCACGGGCCCTTTTGGTTACGATCTACCCCGCCGCCATACTTGCAGGCCCGACTATCCGTCTGTTCTGTTCCGGGCGCGCGTTCTTAGGAGAAGTCCTTGCACGGCCCGACCCGCAGTCTGACAATACTGCATGTTAGTGTAAGGGCAACCCGGAGGCCTGAGATCAAGGTCCTAGCAGGGGAGGATCCAAAGGAGTGAATAAAGGTCAGCAAAATACAAAGGAGGCTGACCTAGCAGGGGAGGATCCAAAGAGAAGAAACTCTAAGGGTCCGCCTGCTAGGGCGCCAACTATATACTGGTCGTCCGTAACTGCCGACGTAGAGCGCAGAAGGCCTGTGCGGCGTCGCAGGCCGTGTCCCAAGGTGATTGTTGCGAGGGCCTTGACGGATCGGTGATTGTGCGGGCGAAGGAGGCCGTGGGCGATGGTCGGGGCGGGTCGGAGGGTCCGAGGGGGCGCCGGTCGGATGCGCCTCGGATGCGTTCGGAGGGTCCGAAGGAGGCCGAAGCGGGGGTTCCCCTGACAGTAAGTTGACAATCACTGGGAACACATCACGGCACTATCAGTAACAAAAATAAACCGTTTTTGGATCCAGTATCTGGATCAGTCACGAGAACCGTGGCCGGTGAATGCTCACACCCGGAGAGAAAATACTAAAAAGGAAATTTAGCCGACAGTACAGGTATCTCAGGTGGCAGGTTCAAGCGCCGCAGGCGCGAGAAAAAAATTATAAACATTTGGAACAGCAAATTTCCATTATTGTATAGCAGATCTGAGATGTATGGTAGGACATATGCAATTCCTAGGTGAGCTCTCTTTTTCTCTTTCTTTCTCTTTTTTTCCTCTTTTGGCTACCAACAACACCAGTATTGAGCCCATCTAGTACAGTAATCGGTCGGCTGATGTAATCGCTGCACCGCTTTCTCTCCTTTCATCTCAAACCACGAGGATCCTCCAGCCAGCCAGGGAATACGAAGAGGAGCCTGACCCTGGTTGCCAAATCAAGGATCAGATCTATGACTATACATAGTTGGGTTCTGTCGAGTTCTTGACCGCCAATCCTCTCAATCAATCGCCTAGTTGCCATATCCCCATTAATCAGTTCCATAATTGACACGTACGCCTCGACCATGAAGCTTTTTCAAGTGTTGACCATCGCCCTAGCCCGGAATTCCAGCGGCTGCAAAACGTCAAGCAGCTGGGCACGTCCTACTATGTCTGGTCTGGGGCCTCCCACAACAGATTTGAGCACTACTTGGGTGTGTAACAACGGGCTTCGAGTCAGCTCAGCAGGAAAAGCTAACCGACCAGCAGGAGCTCAGCGATTGACTTTTGTTGAAGGTGTCGCTCATTTAGCGCGTTCGATGGTCGAACATCTCCAGAGACAGCAGGTGTCACTCGGAATCGACACGAGGGACGTGAATTGTGTAGAAATAGCGGGCCTCTGCCACGATCTTGGCCATGGTCCTTGGAGCCACGTCTTCGACAACTTGTTCATTCCAATTTCCAGCACCTACCAATTCCACTTATCCTTTCATATTAGAATGAACGGCCCGCTGGGCTGCACATTCTAATATGAAGGGATGACTCCAAATGCCCTATGCTGCAATAAATACCCCAATAATTCTGCAACATCTCTAAGTTCTCAAGTCCCTCAACGCTAAGTCCCTTCTACGCTGCTAATGCTGCAATAATCCACTGTGATCTAAGGTAGTTTCCTAAATTGGCAAATATGACATAAATAGTGATAATAGTCACACTTTCTCTACTTAAGCAACAACTTGAAAGTATACTATATAACAAGGCCAGATTTTATTGTCTTGGTCACAATGTCACATGGTATAAGCATGACACCTGTGACAAAATTCTTAAAAATGCAGTTGATAATTATGAATAAGTCGCACACTGTCAGGGGAACCTCCCTTTCGGCCCCTCGGAGACGATCCCGATTCCGGTCCGACTCCGGTTCCGACTCCGGTGATCGCATCACCGCCTCCGTCAGGCGCATCGCCGCCCCCCGCCTGGCGATCCCCCTGGGACCTGGCCTGCGACATGGCGCAGGCATACTGCACGGAGCAACGATCAACCTTGGCGCGTCAAGAGCGCAGTATATAGTTCCGCTACCTAGCAGGCGGACCCTTAGAGTTTCTTCTCTTTGGATCCTCCCCTGCTAGGTCAGCCTCACTTGTATTTGCTTACTTCTATTCACTCTTTGGATCCTCCCCTGCTAGGACCTTGATCTCAGGCCTCCGGGGTTGCCCTTACAGCAGAAGAAACTCTCTACGGGATCAACCGGACAAGATTGCCAGGTTCGGCGCTGACTCAGGCTCGGAGTCCGAGTCCACTCCGCCCTCGCCACCGCCCCTGCCACTTGTCCCCTCCTCCTCTGCCACTCCTGTCGTCCCCGCACCTGTCATGCCTTCCGGAGCTACTCCTGACGCTGACACTCGGCTGGATGCACTCGAGGCGAAAATCGACCGCCTAACTGAGGCCCTTACTCTCCTCACCACCCAGGCTTCCGCTGCCGCTGCCGCCGCTAATACTGCTGGCGGACCCCAAACACCACCACCGGAGACGTCGATTCCGACTCCGACTCCGGTTCAGGGCGATTCCGAGGCCCTCTTTGGCGACATCAACCTCGCCTCAAAATTGGTTTTACGACCAAACCCCCCGTTCACCTTTAACGGCGATCGGAAACACGGCCGCGCGTTCCTCTACGCGGTCCGCACTTATGCCCGCCTTGCCCCTGAGGCCTTCGTGGTCAATGGAGAGGCGAGCGAGGAAAAGGCCGTCCGCTATGCCATGTCGTTTATGGCAGAAGGACCTGCTCAGCAATGGGCGGAGCGCCACGGAAGCAAAGCCCCGTTTCCGTTTCCGTCCTGGGGCTCGTTCGTTTCCGAGTTTCGACTCTGGTTCGTCGAGGAGAATGAGCAAGATCACGCTCTCTCCAAACTGGAGACTTCCGCCTATCACATGGGCACCAAGGATGTCTACCAGTACACCGACGACTTCGAGGACCTGATGGACCTCGCCGGATTCGAAGACACGTTGGTCAAGGTGACCAAGTTCCGCCACGGACTTGATCCCCTGATCAACAACGGAATCACGTCCTCGAATGACCCCCCGGACCTCCGGGACTATCTTAGCTGGCGCACCCGGGCCTTCCGTCAATACGAGGCCCTGGTCCGGGCCAAGCTGATCAAGTCAGCCGCCCCCAAGACGCCTGGCGGTTTGATTCGGACTCCGTTTCCGGTCAACCGTGTCCCGGCTCCGGCTCCCTTCCGCCCGGTGGCTCCGGTCGTGCCACCTGCGGCCCGCGCCCCCGCTCCGGCGCCTCCAGCTCCCGTCCCCATGGAGTTGGATTGCACTAGGGCTCGGGGTGCCCCTCGTCGCGCCTGCTTCAGGTGCGGCGACCCAAACCATCTCGCCCGAGATTGCCCCCTCCCCGGATGTCCGCTCAATGGACATCCTCGACGAGGTGATCCAACAACTCGGTGACGAGATGTTAGCGGAGTTGATCGCCCGCTACTCGGACACAGCTGTGCTGCCGGAAACAGCCGCGGAGTTGATGGCCGGAGAGGATTTTGTCCCCCGCGACGAGTGACTGGTGTGCCCTCGTTCGCGTCCGTAAATCGTTTCGCTTGTTTGTATGACGAATCAATTCCTTTGCCCTACAACGAGCCTGAAACGAAAGACATACCCTCCCCCGCCCCCGTTTCGACTCCGTCTCCGACTCCGCCCGCGACTCCGGTCATCGTCCTTCGCCGCCTCACTGCCTGGGAAAAGAAATTGCCCAAGCAGTACACTGTCGCTGCTTCCCCTGGAGTGAACTCCCTCCACCTCCCATGTTGGAGCTAGAGTCCACTACCAGCGCGCTTAAGCTCTCGCTCTCTGGCCTGGTTGACTGTGGTGCCACCTCCGACTTTATCGACACGAACTATGTCGCTCGGAATGGCATTCCGGTCCGCACCCTGGCGCAACCGATTCCGGTCTTTAACGTTGATGGCACTCCGAACGACGCCGGCTCCATCAACCAGATCGCGGACTTGGTCTTACGCTACAAAGGCCATTCCGAGCGTGTTCAACTCGCCGTCACTCATCTTGGTAAACAAGACCTTATTCTGGGGTACTCCTGGCTGCGGAAGCATAACCCGGAAATCAATTGGGGAACCAAGGAGGTCAAGATGACACGGTGCCCCCGCGGTTGCTCCACTTGCCGCGAGGAGGAACGCATTGAACGGACTGAGCTACGGCGACTCCGGCTGCTCCAGAAGCAACTCCGCTCCGGCCCGTTCCCCTCGGTCTGCGCCATGGACCTCTCTGGGCCTGACGACGGAGACGATTCCGTCTCCGGTGACGACTCCGCCCTGCCTGATCTGATGCCGGACTCCGACGACGATGAAGACGATGGTCAGCTTGAAGATGGTGACCGCATCTTCTACACCTCGTTCCGCCCCTCGGAGGAGATACGCGCTGGCAGTACTGTCTCACAGCGCCTGGCCGAAGCCTTCGCCAGGAACTCCACCCCTCCGCCCTCCGAGATCCCGGACTGGGCTAAGGAGTTTCAGGATGTCTTCAACAAGGAGTCCTTCGACACGCTACCGGAGCGGAGAGCCTGGGACCACGCCATTGAACTCGTCCCTGACGCTAAGCCCACCAACTGCAAGGTGTACCCCATCTCGCCCCTCGAGCAACGCGAGCTCGACACGTTCATCGAGGAAGGGCTTTTGACGGGCCGGATTCGCCCCTCCAAGTCTCCGATGGCGTCTCCGGTCTTCTTCGTCAAGAAGAAGGACGGCGGACTCCGCTTCGTCCAGGACTACCGTGCTCTCAACGCGATGACTGTCAAAAACCGGTACCCCCTTCCGCTGATCAACGACCTCATCAACCGGCTCAAAGGCGCTCGTTACTTCACCAAACTCGGCGTCCGTTGGGGCTTCAACAACGTCCGGATCAAGGAAGGTGACGAGTGGAAAGCGGCTTTCCGGACTAACCGAGGCCTGTTCGAGCCCTTGGTGATGTATTTCGGCCTGACAAACTCTCCCGCGACGTTCCAAACGATGATGAATGACATTTTCCAGGACCTTATCCTCTCCGGAGACGTCATGATCTACCTTGACGACATCCTGATCGCCCATTCCGACCTCCGGAAACACCGGCAGATCGTTCAGGAGGTCTTGCGGCGACTCCGAGAGCACAAGTTGTACCTCCGAGCGGAGAAGTGCGACTTTGAAAAATCGTCAATCGAGTACCTCGGAGTCATCATCTCCCACAACCACGTCGAAATGGACCCCGTCAAGGTCGCAGGCGTCTCCGCTTGGCCGACTCCGGAAAACAAGAAGGACATTCAGCAGTTCCTTGGGTTCGCTAATTTCTACCGCAGGTTCATTCGGGACTTCTCGACCCTTGCGCGCCCTCTTTTTGTGCTCACCAAGAAGGACCAGCAATGGACTTGGGGCGACGGGAGGCCTCCGCGTTCCAAGCGATCAAGGACGCAGTCACCTCGGAACCGGTCCTGGCGATTCCGGACGACGCACGGCCTTTCCGACTTGAGGCGGACAGCTCTGATTATGCGACGGGGCGGTTCTTTCACAATCCGCCCCGGACGGGAAGTGGCACCCTGTAGCATTCTATTCCAAAAGCTTAAATGATGTCCAGCGCAACTACGAAATCCACGACAAGGAGATGCTAGCGATCATCCGCGCACTCGAGGAGTATAGACACTTCCTCGAGGGCGCCGCGCATCCCGTCGAGATTTGGACTGACCATAAGAATCTGGAGTACTTCAGGAAGACGCAGCACCTCAACCGGAGACAGGCCCGCTGGTCCCTCTACCTCTCCCGGTTCGACTTCACGCTGCACCACAAGCCCGGCCGCGACATGGGCCGACCTGACGCCCTCTCTCGGAGACCCGACCACGGAATCGATTCCGACAACTCCGACGTCGTCCTTCTGCGGCCCGAACTCTTCCATGTCCGCGCTCTCGAAGGTGTTTCCGTTTCCGGCCCTGGTTCTGAACTCCTTCATGACATCCGCAATGCCCTTTCCGGTGAGCCTGACTTAGAGGAGCCCGTCGCACTAGCGGCCCGGCAACTCCTAAAGGTCCAAGGTCAAGCTCGAGGCCCCCGCTCCTCGCGCTCCGACGAGTGGGCTGTCTCCGGTGGTCTTCTTCACTTTCGTGGGAAGATTGTCGTACCTAAGGATAAGGACCTCCGGAGACGCATCATCGAGCTCTGCCACGACACTCGAGTTGCCGGACACGCTGGTCGCTTCAAGACCTTGGAGTTGGTCTCCCGGAACTACTGGTGGCCCCAGATGTCTCGCCATATTGGCCGGTACGTCGCGACCTGTGACTTGTGCCAGCTACTCATGCTTCGTCCAGGTCGTCGCCGAAAAGACAACTCTCTCGGGGACATCCTGCACGACACCGTCCCGGATGCAACGACAACGTTCCTGGGGGACCAACAGATACACGTTTCAGCTGACGGAACACACGTCTTCACCGATGTCATCAACAGAGTCAAAGCAAAACGGCCTCGCCAGGCAGCAGAAACTCTCGAAGAGCCTGACGCTCGGCTCGCTGGATGGACTCCAATGGGTCTTGACGACGACGACGTCCGCGCCCTTGCTGTGACCGGTGTCATCGTACGAGACCGAGCCCGACTTGGAGGACGTGAGATCGCAAACGGCAAATGAGAAAACTAAAAGGCGCTACTACGCCAGTTCAGTAAGGATTGTTTTTCGAAACGGGAAGCAGGACTGAGAGCTACCAGGACGATCCGATGTCTGTTTGGTTGCCCCACGCTTCAATGTTCCTGGACGAGATTATCCGCCGCGACGGGCTAGCCGACTCCGTTTACGCGCCTTCATGCGCTCGTTGCTCCCAGTCAGGTTCTGGCTGCCGCATATTTCGTTGCCATCATTGCGGCGACTACCTACAGTGCGAGTCTTGCACCATTCAGGAGCATCAAAAGCATCCTTTGCACGTTGTCGAGGTAGGGCTTCATTTCATTAGCAATAATAACAATTTGACCCGCCGTTGAGGAATGGAACGGACAGTTTTGGTGCAGGACGAACCTCCATTCCGTTCTGCCCAATTTCGACGGCCAGCTCGGCCTTGGTATCACCTACCAAATCGGACATCATGGATTTTCGTGCCTGAATCCGACTGTCGCTAAGCGCATGGTCGTCATTGACGTCCGTGGGGTCTTCACTCTTCGGGTCAGCGCCTGTAACTGTGGGCTGGGTCAAAGGCGGAACATCCTGTCTCAGCTTCTCGCTCATGGCTGGTATCCCGCGACCACGACGGACCCAGAGACTTGCGCTACACTGGAAGTTCTGGAACTCTTCCGGCTCTTGCAGATGGTCGGAAATATCAATGTCAATGACTTCATTGGCTCAATTGAAAGACTGACTGATGCGACCCGTCTTGAGGCAACTCCCGTAGGCCGTTTGTTCGGCTGGTGGCTGCACTGACAGAAACGCTAGGATCGTTACAAGGCATTCTTCCGGATGCATCGGCAATATGCTTACCTCATTCGGGCGAAACGGGCCGGGCGGGGGGGCATGACTCAGGCGGCCTTGCAGAGACAGCCACGGGTGAGTTGGCCGTGTCTTGCTGGGCATGCCCTCAACCTGGACGAAACTTGCCGGATGGTTGGAAACGGGTCGACCGCCCGCAACGGTAAGACTTATCGACGGGTTGCTGTCGCGGTTATCGCTGAAACCAAGATCAGATATCTCTACAAACTGATCTTAGCAGTCGACACTAACTAACTTCAGGCTCAAGAATCGCATCCGAGCTAACGAGCGGCAAGATCCGGCTCTGGCGAAAGGGAAGGGTTACTTTGTTCAATCCGACGCCTACAAGCGACATTTGCGGGAATACGTGGCTGAGAAGGAGGTAGGCAAATGAGAAACTTGCCTTGAGCATAGCTAAACCTCTCCCAGGTCCACAGTTGTGCTACATTTGCTGCTCTGGTCCAACAAGACACGAAGGTTACCACGGGTTTGAGGGTCTCTGGCGTGGGCGGAGTAGTCTGCGCTCGACACGGACTAGTTCGGAAACAGGGAATGGGTGACTTACAGAAAGGCGAGAGGTGTGTTGTCGTCGCTCGTGGTGCTTTTCTGTTGGTTGATGCTGCCCAGATACGCTAACATCGACTACATCGTAATGGCGACGCTGCAGGGCGAGAAAGTTATCAACGTGACTATCAGCTACGATATCGCCTGCCATTGGCAGGTTCTCTTGCCTGTCAGGGGCGAACGCATCCACCAACGCGGAGATCTGTCGACGGACCTCAGCAAATACAAAATGCAGTTTGCGCTGCCAGTCTGGCATGCGTCCGCGCATGAAATAAATTGCCGTTCGAAGAACACTCTAAGCTACGGCGTATGGAGTGGGCAAAACGGATGGGGAAGGGATTGAGCGAACGTGGTCACTGCTTAATCCCAGTGCTTAGGCTACGAAAGAGATGGGAGAAGGCGCTCGACACGATACGCTCGAGGATAAGATTGACCATTTGAATTTCGAAAAAAATGTTGGACAAGGTACGTGCTGTCTGCTCGAGACGTGATATCTTTTAGGGAAAATCCTCATGCGAAAACTCATCGTTGCTCTGGCTGAGCGGCGCACGCAAGAGGATGAGTTTGAAGAGATGACAGAGAGCGTATCGGAGGAGAAACTGAAGGTTTGGGAGAAAATGGTTGTTGACTGGGAGAAAGACCATGAAAAACCCAACCCTTTCTTAATCGTTGGGGGCCAAGAAGGTGAGTCGCTAATCAGCAGTCAACAGTTGCGCATGTCTGATTACTGTTCTAGCGGGACCGTCGGAAAGAGAGGTCATGCAGCAACTGAAGGCCGCCGAAGTAGAGGACGCGCGCTCTGGTCGAGCGCCGTTGGTCCCGGAAGGCAAGATGACGGCTGCTGGCTTTGTTAAGGCTGGCTTCCAGCTTGAGGAATCTCAGTAGGAAATCTGTTTGCAAAAAAAACAGGCTGAGTAATGATATGACAGACGTCGCATCTTGGCAGAACTCAAAGCCAAGACTATCATCTCCGCGGACCGCTCGAGCGCAATACAAGAACAGCGCTTTTCCTTGCACAAACGATTGAAGATCTTCAACGACTTGCAACTGACTTATATGCCTGGGGTCGAAGATCTCAGGGCTCGTGAAGATGAACTACGAGATCCAGACGAGCCTCCTCCGAAAGCTGAGCATATCAAGATCTACTTACCTTCGGAACTGTCGGCTGACGATCGCCGCACCTATTGTCGACGTGGGGTTGCCGATGCAGAAGCCAAATTACGGCTCGGACAATGTGCTGACGCCTTGATGGTGTTGCGGGGGTGTTTATACACCCAGACTCACGTCATTTATTGGCGAAATTCCAACTCAGTGGCGCAAAAGGGGGCGACAAGGTCCGCCACGCTGTTGGAACACATTGGAGAGCGCATCGCTAGAGCGGTTTTGAAGTACCGCAGGGCCTACGACGCCCTGGTCGCTCTGAAAGGAGAGGGATTTTCGTCGGGAGTTCAAGAAGCTAGAGGACACCGATGTCAACCGCCGAGCAGGTGTCGAAAAGGACATCGACTCCGTAAAAGAAATTATGCGCGGCGGAGTCCGCACGGGCATCACGGAACGAGCCGACCCAAGCTGCAATTTCAGCACGGGTGTCGTGGATCTGGGGCACCGCAGGAGGCTCGGACCGGACAGAGTTGCACGACTGTGAGTATTGCCCGTTACATTACATCGCATCTAATGTACTGGGTAGCTGTACGGGTGGATCGGACGAAAGCCCGCGCTCGCCGAGACAGATGGCGGGAAGAAGTGGCCCTGATACGCGAAGAAATGAAGCGGGTGTTACGGTGCTTGGCGACCATTCAGAAAGAATGGCAAGACCGGGCGACAGCGAGGGAGGAAGGGGATATGGCCAGAGATTCTGGCCTCCGCGCATACGCGCTGCGCCAGAGTGCCATTCATCGTCGAGTGGGAGAGGCTTTTTACAATGGTTGGAATAAGTCAGCTCTGAGAGGGACGGAGCTAATGGGGATTGAGACGGCGTTGCTCCGGGAGTTGCTTGAGGGAACGGCAGAGGAGCATGTGGGCTGTGAAAGGGATGAGCAGCAGCATGGAGACGAGGAACAAGCTGACGCACAAGACGGTGTAGCGGCAGCAGCATCAGAAACGCAATGTGCCACACGCCTCCGCACACGTCTCAATAGAGCGTCCACAACGACAACGGCAACGACCACCTCAACCAGGACGACTACCTCGACATGAGCGCGCTCCCGCGACCCAAGGAGACTCAGTTTTGCCAGAATTTGTCAGCCAACTACGAAAAATTTCGAAGGCCGCGGGGAGGGAAGGGAGGGCGGAGATAGCCATGAATGAGGAGGGGAGAGGACGTGGGATATAGGGTGGTCGGCGCTCGGGTGGGGGCCGGCGGGTGCAACGGCGCGGGCAGAGCAGCAACGTCCCGTTTAGGCTGTTGACGAACCTTTTTTAGACAGATCAGCTTGTCCACTACCTCCTCCTCCGGCGTAATATATTGTTATCATCTGCGTGAGATTGATCCCAAGGCAAGGGTGATCTGAAGTGATGGCAGTGATGGGCCTGCGATGCCGTGCAGCGGGGCTGGCGGAACAACCAGGGGGGGTTAAAGCCTATTAGGCTGGGATACCCAGGCCCCTGGGACAGCCAGGGCTAAAGCAATCGATTTTTATGGCAATAGTCAGGACAAAAGGCTTTTTTATACAGCCAAGGGTGTACGGTGGTCATTGTGTGTGGTGGTTGGAACAGCCCTGCTTGACTCAGAGTTAGAGATCACATCATTCAAGCCCTGGCACTGCCCACGCGGCGGGGCACGTGAACGCCACTCGTCCTCTTTCTAGCAACCACCATATGCCTAAAATTATCTTTTCCCCCTTCAGCCAGCTGAAGTCCTAAACTCAGCTCGACATATCAACAATCATTGTTAAAGTTGTTGAGTGGGAAGGGTTTGAGAAGCGACAATGACGCAAATTCGGCTTTATTTACGAGAATCGCGAAGGAAAATCTTCTCCCGCCGCCAACCCTCAGTCGTCCCCATTGGCTCTCGTATATCTATCGCCGAACACGATTGCTCAATGAACGCCGTCAGCGCAAGCAGCCCTGAGCTCGGCAAACCCCCCGGCGCCATATATCGGCGCTGCTCAATCGTTCACACATTTAGCCTCATTTTCGTTTTCCCCCTCCTCCCTCTCTCGTTTCAAGCCATTAAATCTCGCCACGATCGATCGCTGCTGCCTCCATGGATGGGCTTCCTCCTGGCCCAGGGCCTCCAAACCAAAGCGCTGGTCAAGGTTGGTCGTTTGCACAGGCGATAGGAATTGTTATCATGATTAACGTTGCGCGCAGGCTTCGGGCAGCCATCGCCACAAGGACAAGCCTGGTTTCACGGCGATAACAACCTCGGTGGTGGTCTCCCTGGTTCTTCGTCTCCACCCAGCGACAATTGGGTGAGTCTCACCGCCCTACTGCTTTGCCCTGAACCTGACAAGCAATGACAGACGGCTCAAGGAGGATCCCAGTCAGCGCCAGGTGCTGGTGTGGACGACTTGGCAGATTTGGACGACGAGGACCTAGTCGACGACATTGAAGACTCTTTGGGCAACATGGGGCCGGGGGCTCTCTTCGGAAGCCCTTGAGCGAATACTGGAGAAAATCGATTACTGGCATCGCCGCTTCGGGCCTTCCCAGGCCAACGTCTCACAAGCATCCGAGCCTCAGCCTCCACCTCATCAAGCCATGATTCCGCCCAGTCAGCACCAACACCATCCGCCAACAGTAGCGCAACAAGTGGGCGCAGTGGCGGTCCCTCAAGAACGCCAGGTCTCCATGAGTCGTTCGACGCAAAGTGCATCCGTTCCAATTGCCCAACATCTTCAGCCTGCGTATCTTCAGGCAAGTTAGCTGTCTAATTGTTGGCCTACTTAACGTTGAAAACAGAGATTCGGACCAAGCCGTCTGATTCGAAATCTCCCTTCTGCTCCATCCAGCCGTTTCAGTGGCTCTCACTCTGCCTACAACAACAACAAAACGCACCAACCTGCTCATTTTGACCAACAACAAGCCTACAACACCACTCCTTCCCCGCATGACCACTGGCCGCTTCTCCGCAACAACCCATCGTCCTTGCGGCTGCCCCCAAGCCCTCTTGGGGCGCTTCCTGCCCAAAACAATGACCTTGCGCAAATTCCAGGTCGCTCTCATCATAGCCGACCAGAGTCTTCCTCTTCAATGTCCCCTTCTACTTTCAATCAACAATCTCGGGGCCTTCAATTCACTTTTTCTTCTCCAGTGTCGTCAACTCTAGGTCAGCGCCATGCCTTTTCTAGTCAAGGTTGCTAACGAATAAACAGAATCGCTCCATAGCAGCCCATTGTCTTCCTCTTCAGTGCCCCCTTTAGCCTTCGACGCGAGGAGGATGTCGTGAGGGAGAGGAAGACAGATGGTGATGGAATCGGGCGAGGAGTGAGTTTGGGCACAATTATATTGGGGTCCGAAGTTCTCGAGTCGGTCCGGGGACCAACTCAAGCCTAACTACGAGGGACTAGTGACATACAGGACTGAGGAGAAGAGAGACAGTAGAATGGAGTGTAAATGGAGTAGGGATGGAGGGTGGGGAATTTAAATGACACGAATTGTTCTGCGAGCGCAGTGTGAGACGAGGAGAAAGTATGATAGCTGAGACTGACTTACCTGCGGCGCAGTGTGAGACGATGAGTCTCGACAGCGCTGCAGGCGGCTTATATACTATGCGGAGGGGGTCCGAGCACTGTGCTTGGGACTCCAAGCGCTGGCGCGCTTGGGCGGCGTCACGCGCCTGCCTGCTAACCCGGGTCAATCCACCCCACCACTAATTGACCCGCCATTAGCCTTCGACGCGAGGAGGATGTCGTGAGGGAGAGGAAGACAGATGGTGATGGAATCGGGCGAGGAGTGAGTTTGGGCACAATTATATTGGGGTCCGAAGTTCTCGAGTCGGTCCGGGGACCAACTCAAGCCATGGAGGTGTAGTGCCGGAGAGCCGGAGGTTCGAAAGGGATGGTGTGTGTGTGGGCCATGTGAAGTTGTCTGGATAGCGGATGATCCGGGAGAGTGGGTTCTCGATGTAAAGTTTGTAGGCGTCGCTACGCCATCGTCCAAGTAACTGGATTTCGTAGTCGTTGCATCCGGCGGCGGCGGCTTCTGTGGCAGCTCCTCGGCGCAAGCTGTGGCCTGCATATCCGGAGGGGTTGATGCCCGCTGCGCTGAGGGCCTCACGCAGACCGGTGACAAACGTCTTGTAGTGTAGGGGCTTTCCGTCAAGTCCTTCAAAAGGGGAGTTGTTGGCTCGTGGTAGTTCGGAGAAAAGGCGCTTGAGCGCTGTGACAGGGCAGGTGGGTTCTCCGGGGACTGCGGCGATAGTGAGAGTGACGCCTTTTCGGAAGGGGTCAGTCTTGGAGCTGGGAAGAGTGAGCTGGATGTATTCAGCGTGCTCAAAGTTGGGTAAGAACTGGACATTGTTACGCGTGAGATTAAGGCTGGCGTCCTTGCCATTTCCCGTGATTTCCCCTGAGCGGAGAAAACCGGCGTAGCCCAGGCAGAAGGCGGCGTAGAGCGTGCTGTGGCCCGGGACCGCTCCGGGTCGGAGCTGGGCAAGGATGCGGGTGAGGATGGAGCGGGTGATGGGAAGGACGGGCTTCCGGTCCTTCTCGCCGTGGAAGCGCTTGATGCCTCGGATGAGGCGTTGAACAACTGGCGATTCACATGCAGTGAAGGGAAGGTCGGCGTCGACATGGAGGGAACGAACGGCGGACAGGTAGGCCTTAATCGATTTGGGCTGGATTCGGCCGGCAAGGCTGGCAACCCACGACATAACGGCGGTTTGAGTGGCAGGAAGGATGGCGCCGTCACTGTTGTACAAGCTGTGGAGCTTGCAAAAGTTGATGAAGGATTTTTGGCCTGTGGAGTAGGTACGTCGTGTGTTACTTGCGAGGCCGTGCCAAAGGTAGAATGCGACGGTTTTTGGGAGATTGCCGTGTTGTTCGTACCACCAATCTGGTGGACTTTGGAGCTCGGCTGTCGTTCCAGGTAGGGTGCAAGGGAGAACATGCGGGAAAAGGAAAATCGAGAAGCGGCGTCAGCAATTGAATTGTCAGCGGAGGATAACCAAACAGAGGAAAATGAAAAATCGAGTCGGCATGCAAGTGCCACGGTTGCGGAGGAGGTTCATGGTGGGGGGGGAGCAATGGTTAGGGAGGAGATAGCATCGTGAACAGCTTCGTTGTCGACGTGGAAGACAACGTGAGTGCCGGTGAACTCGGATCCCCAACATTGGATGGCGTGCACGACGGCTAGCATTTCCTTGACCTGGATGTGATCTTTGCGGTAACGTTGCGGGCAGCGGATGGAGAACCAGTGAGTACCGGTGTCCCCCGAGACCCTTGGTTCCACTAGCATCCGTGTAGACATGGAGCGTGCGTTGTTCTGGTGCGAGTAGTCGGACTCCATTCCATGCGGCAGAGAAAGTCTCCCACCAGGCAAGGTCGCGACGAGCTGGTTTGGAGATGCGCCGGCGTGAGAAAGGAGTGGTGAAGGATGATTCAAAATCGTAAAGGCTCCGGATGAAAGCCCGAGCGGTGGGGACGACTTGCGATGCAAACTGAAGGAAGCCCGTCAGCTCCTGGACCTCTCGAGCGTGGCGTGAGTCCGGTGATGCCATTCGTCCAGGAGAGAGGTCAAGTAAGCCAGTTTGTCGGCTGGCAGACGTGCCTCCATCTGCAACGGTGTCAATCTCGATTCCCAACATCTCTACTGTGGTTGCGGGCCCGAGGATCTTGGACGGCTGGAAGGAGAGGCCCAGCTGGTCGCCAAGTGCAAGCGACCACTCCAGTGCTCGTTCGGTGAGGGGTCGCGGGACACGGGGTGAGAAGACTTGGAGGAAATCATCCAGGTAGTGGCGGATCGCGGCGGGGAGATGGCGCTGGAGAATCCAGTGTAGCGCCTCGGCGAAGAGGTTGAATATGTATGGCGCAGATCGGCAGCCAAAACCGAGGACGATGTCATAGTAGAATGCATCGTCCCACATGAACCCCAGAAGGTGCCAGTCCTCGGGACGGACAGGAATGTGGCGGAAAGCGGATTCGAGGTCAAGTTTGACCATGAGGCGAGCCGCGGCCGGCTTCTATGACATCGGCGATCGCGCGGTCGATCATGTCGTAGCGGATGTTGGCCTCGGCATCGGGGATGCCATCGTTCACGGAGCGTCCGTGCGGCCACGAGAGGTGGTGGATGCGACGCACCTTCGAGGCGCGCTTGCGGGTGACGGCTCCAAGCGGGGAGCAGCGGAAGTTGTCGAAAGGGGGATCAGCGAACGGGCCGGCTGTCCGCCCGTTGGCGACTTGCGCGGCAATGTCTTCGGAAAGAGCATTCGTGACGAGAGGGGAGCTGAAGGCTGTCTTCAGGTTGGTGCACTGTTGTGCTGCTGACTTGTCACCCGTAAATCCAAGATTGGCACCATGTCGTATTATGTGTAGTAAGGAGCGTACAAACTGTTTGTCTGGATAATCACGTAGGTAAAAAGCCCAGGCTTCCTCGTTGAGGACGGAGGAGATTGTAGGCGTGTCATGATTGCCCGGTGGTGCTGTGTTTGCGCGGATCAGTGTTAGGACGGGCGGGCGGTGGATGTCTAGGAGGGAAGAGATTGCCGTGTGGGAGTGGAGGCAGTGGAGAGTCTGGCGTGGGATCATCTGCGGGGTGGCTGCGACGTGCAACCAACGTGCCGTTGCACGTCGTGCCAGATCCCTATTTGTGTTGTGTGAGTGGGTGCTCCTTGCCACAGCCAGGCGAAGAGCAGATATGGGGCCGGCCCCATGCACATGGAGACGCGCATTTACCCAGGTTGTAGTTGCGGCAAGGATCCGTCGAGCTTGGCGGCTTCTTTGACGTGGCCTTGGCGCTGACCGAGATCGGCTTCCGGTGCGGGTACACGTGGGAGCTGAGAAGTCCAATTTCAGGCTCCGCCCATCCTTCGTATGACCCCTCCAGCATCTCGTTCCGCCGCCGATTGAAGTAGAGCGTATGGTACTCAAGGACCGCCGCCCATTCATACTCTGTTGCCAGCGTGCTGATGTGCGTAAGGTAGCGGTAGAAGTACGCCCGTTGCTCCCACACGCGGGGGGGGTGTGCCGTGAGGATGGCGAAGAAAGTGTGGAGAGGGAAGAGGACGGAGTTGAGGTTTTTGTATGATTTGTGTTTGGAGACATTCATTTCGAATGTTCCTGCCGCGCTGAGACTGTAAGTCGCCTCTGAATCCTTCACTCTGCTATCCAGCTTGTACAGATCCGATGCCTTGAGCTCATGTGAAATGACCGCCGTGATGCATGCCGACTCGATATCGGGGAAGAGGGATCGGAGGGACGGTGACGCACCTGTCGGGCGCGTTGAGCGGCGCGAGGGGTGCGATAAACTGTGGCGCAGGCTGCTGGGCCACGGGAATTACTGGTGGTGGTGGGACCGGGGCCGGGGCCGGGGGCCGGGGCCGGGGCCGGGGCCGGGGCCGGGGCCGGGGCTTGGTCTGGCGGAGCATTCCTCACGGATTGCTGGATTGCCATAAGGACCGCGGCAAGCTGCGCTTCCAGCCCAGATAGCCGCTCCTCGGTTGTGGGGCACTGGTGGGCTGTTTGCGCCACCACTGGGGCCGGCATTACCGCTTCCGGAGGCTTCGCCGTCTGCCATCGTGAGAAGCTGAGTGGGACGCGGGGTAAGGGGGGTCCCAGGAGTCTCGGGTCTTTCGGAGAAGATGGGGGAAGGAGTACGGCTAGGTCGAGTGGCGAATCGTCCTCGGACGCGATAAGGCTCACGTCGGTTAGCCGTGGCAGCGGTTTACGGTTGTAAAGAATTTAAATGACACGAATTGTTCTGCGAGCGCAGTGTGAGACGAGGAGAAAGTATGATAGCTGAGACTGACTTACCTGCGAGCGCAGTGTGAGACGATGAGTCTCGACAGCGCCGCAGGCGGCTTATATACTATGCGGAGGGGGTCCGAGCACTGTGCTTGGGACTCCAAGCGCTGGCGCGCTTGGGCGGCGTCACGCTTGCCTGCTAACCCGGGTCAATCCACCCCACCACTAATTGACCCGCCATCAGCTTTCAATCAACAACCTCGGGACCATCAATCTTCTATTTCTTCTGCTACGTCAACTCTCGGTAAGTGCTGTGCTTTTATTTAGTCAAGGTTGCTGACCAACGAAAAGAACCTATCCAAGAGCAGCCTCCTTTGTTCACTCCTCATGTTATGCAAGACTTCGACAACACCCTTCCTTTGTTTCACCCCCCAGACACGTCTGCCTTGGGGAACTCAGATTCCAAGAGGGACAAGCAGCCTCAGCCGAGAAGTGCGAAAGGAAAGGGCAAACAGAAAGCTGTTGAGCCCGGTAAGCTTGAACTTTCAGCTCTGAATATCGTGTTGAATCTTGCGTAGGTTCTTCAGGGAATGGAGTCATGAGTGTCACAATCTTTCCTCCAAAGCTACCCGCAGACCAAGTTGAACAATTCGTCACGCCTGAGGTATTAAAGCCCTGACATCCTTGTCTTTTCCGCACTGATTTTACTCAGCACGTACTAAGAATCATCTACCAAGAATCGTTGGAGCAATTCATCACCTCTCGTCTGCCCCCACGCGGCCCAGTTCTTCCGCCTGCTTCGTCTCTTGCCTCTTCTTCTTCGCAATCAGCTCCAGAGCCAGGAACATCAAGTGTTCTTTCTGAACAACAACTTCCCAGCCATTCACACTCCTCCCTCGGCACCTCCTGGTCAAGCACTAGGGGCTCTTTGACCGAATCTAGTTATGAAACCAAGTACAGTGGTGACCTGGCAGACGGCGACAATAACCAACTGAAGTCTGAAGACGAAGCCAACAACGCCTTTACCGTTGAGCCAAACCTCTCGTCTCTTGCTGGCATTGAGCAGCGTTTTCCTGCTGTGGTTCCCGCGCTGCGTGATCTCCAACAGACCACTCTCCGGAATTTGTTCAGCTACGGTATATACCCCGCCCAGGAGGATCGTCATGCGAAGATGCTGGCGGACTATTTGATGCGGCTTTGGCAACTGGAGAAGCGCATCAGCCCGTTGGCTCTGGGTGCGTTTATCCCCCGCTGTCAGAGACGCAGCTCCTCAGATCATTGATTAGCGCCTTGGTTGATTGTCAGAGAGCAAATTTTCTCTGAGGTCTGTGCTTCTTCTTGCCAGGCCTTGCATTGACGTTACGTTGCACAGCTTGCCAGATCTGAAGCAGTTGGGCGGGACTTGGGGAGAAGTCGAGTGGCCTCCGAAGTCGACCGCTACTTACTGACCTTGCCGGACCATGCTGTTGATCCAAACACAGGAGAAGAGTACACTCGTAACTCTCGATTCAGTTACGATGCGTCTACGAACGAGGCCATCAACCCCGCAACGTCCGAAGAATACCAGCCCCATGAACTGCAAGAGTGGTGACAGCAAGAAGCTCAAAGACTGCTTCAGAACGACCTCTTCCATTACAGCGCAGAGTCATTGGTGAGTCAACGCTGTTGAACTAACTGGCCAAATTCACAGATTGGCAGGGCAACAACTTGGAGGCAAGCAATCAATTCCGACACCCAGCAGTTGTGGCCTTCATCCTCACCATCCTCGGAACGTTTGGCCTGAATTATGACCCCTTTGGCATTTCATCCCTGATGCTAGCGGCAATCCTAACTCTGGTGCATCCATTGCCTTTGTCCCCTAACTGTTTTGAACCATTGTTGAATAGATGCGCCACCGATTAAGCTGGCATGCAACGAGGGAGCACCCAAGCTTGCACGAAGGGACTCTGGAGGTTTACAGGTATTATCTGCAGCTTGTCAACGCCGTCTATCTGTCTCCCGAGTATGGGCCATACTTTGCTGGTGTATTTCGTTCAATTGTGCAGGACGCCGAGTAAGCAGGTTTAATTTCGCTCCAGGCGTGAATAGTCCTAAACTTTATTCTAGAAAGATGGGCTTGATCTAAGTAGCTTACTCCCAAAACCTGCTTCTCCATGGACCACTCGTTGCTGCCTGTTTGTAGACCAGTTTGCTTTCAATCTAGTATCCCCAGCTATCAATTGTGTTTGTTTTCTGTTGCGAAGTTCGTGCGTTGACTCATCTGACACGTGACTGTCGCGACACGCAATTGCCACTGTGACACAACGCGGCGGTCATGGTGACTGTGACAATCGGCGCGTTGTTGATTCCTCCCACCACCTCAGACCAGCCCACTTCTCCCAGCGGTCAGTCTCCGAGCCCTCAGCTCAACCATCGCTGACGCTGCGCTAGACTGCCAGCGCCCCATGCTTGCCACGTCGCCTTCTTGTGCCCCCTCTGAATCACTCCAGCATTGTAAAATTGGGCCGAACGTTGCAAGTCATCTGTTGTGACGTTGTAGCCTTGAAAAGTTGTCGCAAATCACTGCAATGGTGGGAGGGGTGTAATTAGGACATTGAAGGGAGATCTTGACATTGGGAAGGCGCTGCAATATCCCTGTAACGTCTTACCATCATTGCAAACCATCCAGCCGCTTGAAAGAACCAAACTTCCTTGGAGCTGATTGTTGGTTGTGTTCAGTGTGTTGGCTGCTCGCAAGCTTCTTATTGAGCCCCGCAACTCTGTGACAAACTCACAAGCAGCCAATAGCATCTACAAAACTTCTAAACTATCAGGAGCCTGTTTTGTAGTCGCCACCATCCAGCAAGGCTTGCTTAGTTATGTTGTGGCTTGTAACTGTGTAAGGGCAACCCTGGAGACTCCGACGAAAGCCTAGCAGGGGAGGATCCAAAGCGTGAATAAAAGCTACAGGAAATACACGGAGGGACCGACCTAGCAGGGGAGGATCCAAAGAGAAGAAACTCTAAGGGTCCGCCTGCTAGGGCGCCAACTATATACTGGTCGTCTGTAACTGCCGACGTAGAGCGCAGAAGGCCTGAGCGGCGTCGCAGGCTCTGTCCCAAGGTGATCGTTGGGAGGGTCTTGACGGATCGGTGATTGTGCGGGCGAAGGAGGCTGTGGACGATGGTCGGGGTGGGTCGGAGCGTCCGAGGGGGCGGCCGGTCGGATGCGCCTCAGATGCGCTCGGAAGGTCCGAAGGAGGCCGAAGCGGGGGTTCCCCTGACATCACCCCCCCCTTTGAATGCGGCGTCCCGACGCATAGTTCGGAAGGGCAAGGAGTCGAAGGTCACTGAGGCGATGTGCCGTGGTTTACCTGGGTACCTCCGATAGAAGTCCGCAATTTTGTCTGGCGCAAAGACACGGTCGAACCAAACCCACGAGTCGTGTGAAGCATCGTAGCCTTTCCACCTGACGAAATAGTTAAGACGCTTATACCTTATCCTAGCATCCAAGATTTCCTCAACTTCCCATTCGGGGACTCCGTCCTCTAGTTCGGGGGGCGGTTCGTCGTAACCGGGTTGTCCATTGAAGGGGTCGTCCTGAGCGAGCTCAAGCTTAACAACGGGGAAGACGGGGTAGAGCTTGGAGTAACGCGGGGGGAGGTCGAGCTTGTAGGCACCTTTGCTAACCTCTGCGAGCACCTTGAACGGTCCGAGGCGCTTGTGGGAGAACTTCTCGGAGGGCCGAGTTGTTCTGATGTCAGAGGCATCTAACCAAACCTTATCACCAACTTGAATATTCGGAGCGTCCGATCGTCTCCGATCATAGTACCGTTTATACTCGTCTTTGGCTTTGACGAGTGCGGCCTTCGCTTCGGAGACGCTGTTCGCTATCCGATCGCGAAACTCGTTCACCGACTCCAACTCTGAGCGGGTGCCCGGCTCGAAACCCATTCGGGGGAGCCGGCCAGTGTCCATCATAAAGGGTACCTGTTGAGTGGAGGAGTGAACGTGGTTGTTATAGGCGAACTCAGCGGCAGGAATAAGCTCGTCCCAGTCGTCTTGTTGGTAGTTGGTGAAGATCCGGATGTACTGCTCGAGCTCCTGATTAACGTGTTCAGTTTGTCCGTCGGTCTGCGGGTGGTAAGCCGTAGAGGTAGCCGGCTTGACGCCAATTAAGCGCCAGAGTTCGCGCGTAAAGTCAGCGATGAACTGCGAACCGCGGTCCGAAATGTACTTCTCGGGGGTTCCGTGGTGTCTCCAGACGTTCCGATAGTACAAGCAGGCAGCTCCGACCGCGTCTATTGTCATATGGCACTCAGTGAAGTGGGCGCGCTTCCCGAGGGCGTCAACCACTACCATAACCGCGTCATACCCATAGGCCTCG